TCTCAGCTTCCCTAGAGCCTGGGAACCAGAAATGTATTTCCCCATACAGGTGAAATGGAGTCTGAAGTCAAAATGGCTGTGCTTAGGTCAAGGTGCTTTTTGCACCTTGAGTGAAAAAGTAGTAGTCTCATTATCAAATGTCCAAATTCTAACTATCTGTATGATTTTTAATACATAACTAATAGTTTATAGGTGGATATTTGGATATGTATACATGGAACTTTATAAGGTCTGAATTTACACAGTTTAAAAATTCTTGGTACTAATATCACCAAGTTTTGAATGGCCTTGCCTAGAAATCTATGTGTCATTAGAAAATATATAAATATGGCAAAAGCAGAAAGACAATGTATATCTACATATCTTTTAAAAAAATAAACAGCATTTTATTTTTTATAGTTCACTTATTTAAGTCATTTTACATTCCAGCCTAGGTATGTTGGAGGACATGGGAGAAAGGGTGAATATGATTTGACTACAATGTATGAAATTCTCTAAGAATTAATTAAAATATGTTTTTAAAGTGACTTAAACAACTCCTATACATACATTCTCACTGCAATAGCTAGTAATGGATCTGCTTTACAAAGACTGTAATGAACTGATTTGTTTCCAAACTCTGAAGCTTTAACCCTCAGTGTGATTGTATTAATGATAACTATCTAAAACTTAATCAATAAAATTAAAATGATTTTATAAATCAACGTTCTAATCAGAAAGAAGAGAGGCTTTAGGAGTCAGTGTACACAGTATAAGACTGTGGAAATGTGTCCTTTTACCAGATACTAAGAGAAACCTCACTAGATTCCAAATCCTCTGGCCTCTTGATTTTCACATATATCCTCTGGAAGTGTGAGAAAGTAACACTTGAAATTCAAGCTACTGTGAATGGAATCATGCCACAGAAACTTGGACAAATAACACAGAGAGAAACAATTTAAGATAAGGAGCTATACTGAGGAAATGAAATAATAAACATTAATAGAAAATGTACAAAAACATTCTTATTACCTAAATTAGACTGCATTTAAAGTTGTAAAATTAACTATACCATCAAAGCAATTAAGTTTTAATTGTTTATAATATTCTTAAATAATACTTATTAGTAAAACAAAAATATTTGCATAATACCCAATGGAAAAGTTTATCTATTTAATAGGATGATAAAATTGACAGAGTCTTTGCCTAATTTAAAAAGAGAGCATGACATAATCCAAAAATGATTAGGAAGCTAAATGTTAGGCATATGAGCAAATACTTGTTACAATTATTAGTGAAGGGTTGGAGAGGTGGCTCAGTGGTTGATGTCATGTACTACTCATTGAGAAGAGTAGAATTTCATTTTCATCACTCACACCAGACAGCTCACACCAGTCTATACTTCCAGTTTCAGTGAACCTATTGTCTCTGACTTCTTTGGGTACCTGCACACATGTATACATGTTGACACTCTCAGAGTAAAAGATCAGTTCTTCCAATTCTAGGGAAAGTATTAATAGAGGCAAGCTCTTAAGCAGCTACATGAAAAGTGTGAAGAGAACTTAAATATCCAAGGAAAGTGAAAATAGCAATGACAGTAATAAAAATAATATTTTAGCAACATATAAGAAGAAATCGCTAAATGTATATATATATATATACATGTATATTATTTTGGATGACATATTTTCATCTATGTTTAGTTTTCATTTCTTATTAACACTTTGAGAGTTTTTGGTTTCATACACTGTGTTCTAATCACCTCTGCACCCTGTAATCTAATTTTTCTCAGGTTTAACCCCATAACCTATGCACTCATCTTTGTGTCCTTTGTCCCCTCCTAAACCCATAATAACCCATTTGTGCTGCCCATCCATTCTCACATGTGTGGTCTTCCATTGGAGCATGATCAAAGTATCAGGGGCTATACTCCTAGAGAAACCATTACTCTCTCCCCTAAATGTCAACTATTTCCATTGCTTTATGGTAGCTGTAGGATTGTGTGCCTACCTGGACTCTCTCTAATGCAATTTGGTCTGGCTTGAGCTTGCACAGGTTTTGAATGTGCTGTGAGTTCATATGAACAGTTGCCCTGCTATACCTAGATGGTAACTTATAGTTAGTTATCTACTGCCTCTTGCACTTACATTCTTTCTACTCCCCCAATCTACAATGATGGCCACTGATATATTGTACAGTCAAATAAATTATAGTAAGGAATGCCCCCAAAACTTCTGTTTATGCAGAGCAGGTCACAGTCTATTCTCATAATCACAGAAAAATTTTATGAAGTGGTGTCCTTTAAATTAGGTCATCTGGGTTCAAAATAAGAATGATGATAACCATGTATTTATATTGATCTGTGTAGGACCTGAAAATATGTGTGTTTGAAATATTATTAAATATATAATGATCTTAGTAGAGAGAGATCTGAAAGCTTTTAATTACATTAATTCAATATTGTCAGCATAAGAAACATGAATGGCACCATTAAGATGAAATGTGACACATTCTAAATATGTGTTAAATTAAAATTTACAAGGAAATATGTAAAGACCCAATAATCTCTGAAGAACTGATTTGTCACTTTAGTTTTGGGATGAAATGCTGATGTCATTCTCACCTTGTCTGGAAGATCACCTTTTTCAAGGAGCTGCTATTGGGGTAGAATATAAGTTATGTTCAACCCAGTGTAAGGTAGAGGAATTGGTACAGCAATACTATTCACAGCCTCCTGGATTCAGAAGTTTATCTGTTGCTATCACACATCCACAGTTACTTATGCTTTTCTTTGTCTACTTTGCCTCCCTTCTTCTTTACATGGAAAAAGCCAAGCCAAGGGACTTTTCAAGTCTCTAAGATGATACTACAATTATGCTTCTGAAATTTCCACAATATGTACCTTACTTTCTAGACAGTTCATAGTGATCTTGTTTGCTCATTGTTCCTTCAGAGATTACAAAGTATGTGAATTTTACACATGGCAACACTCTAGATCCTTTATGACTTCACAGGAAGTTGATTATGCATCTTTTCTGTATTGACTAGTAGATATCTCTGAATTGTTTCATTATTTCCTTGCTTTCTCTTTAGCTGTTACAAAACAGGAGCATTGTGCTGTTTATTCTTTGTCTCAAGCAGAGAGTATGGCATCACTTTTTAGTTGATTATAGAGCCAACAATGGTAGGGTTTAAAGAGAGGCTGACAAAAATCTCCAAGTCCTAATGCTCAAAAAGGAGTTTTTTCCTATTGGGTGAAGAACAGGAAGAGTGTGAGGAGCACTCTTATTCTAAGCCTGAGTCCCTTCACCCTAGTGACTGCTTCAGAGGGGTCAGACTGATTTGTACTAGTTTTCACATGCAAAAGAAAACTTTACCTAAGCTTATTGAATCACTATATTTAGTACCCTTTTGCTCACATGGAACTATTTTTAAACATAGTCGGTACCTTGATACTAAGAATAAGCTACATGAGTAATAAATGTTGATTAAGTATAAAGTCTCTCACATTGAAGTGGAAAATTTTGGAGACAGAAATAAATGCGAGGTGTGTGTGTGTGTGTGTGTGTGTGTGTGTGTGTGTGTGCATGTATGCCAGATTAGTTGATGAAGTAGTTAATCCTCATTACTAACTATTCAAGGACTAAGGATCTATATCAGGTTATTAGAAAACTCATAGTTTGGACAATATGAGCTTATGTCTCTCTGGAGTCCTAATTTGAAGTGTTGATATATCATCATTTTACTTAAGAAATAACTTCCTCCCCTTACCCCTCGAGAAGGGGAAAGGGACAAGATCTCCTGAGCAAATTGGGAGCATGTGTGGGGGATAGAAAGTTAGGAGAAAGAGAAGGGGAGAAAAAGAGGGAGGAGGAGGATATGAGGGAGCAGGAAAGAATAGAGGAGAGCAAGAAAAGAGATAAAGAGATATTTTATAGAGAGAGACATTACAGGGTTAAAGAGAAATCTGGCACTAGGTACATGTCCAGAGATCTACAAGGATGATCCCAACAAAAATCTAAGCAGTAATAGAGAGTATACCTTAAATACCCTTCCCCTATAATGAGATTGATGACTACCATAAATGCCATCCTACAGCCTTCATCCAGTAGCTGATGGAAGCAAAAGCACAGATCTACAGCTCAGCAATGAGTCAGACTCCTGGAATTCAGTTGCAGAAGGGAGAAGTGATGAACAGAGAGCTTAATATCAGGCTGAGGAAACCCACAGAAATGCCTGACCTGAACAAAGGGGAGCTCATGGACCCCAGACTGACAGCTAGAAAACCAACATAAGACAATGCAGGTGTCATTTAGGAGACTTGGGCAATCTATGGGGATTCTGATAGTGGATCAGTATTCATCCCTAGTGTATGATTGGACTTTGGGAGCCCATTCCCCATAAAGGGATACTCTCTCAGCCTAGACACATGGGGAAGAGCCTAGGCCCTGTCCCAAATGATGTGATGGACTTGTTAATGCCCCATGGAAGGGCTCACCCCCCTGTGGAGCAGAATGGGGAAGGGATGGAGGATCTGTAGGGCCACAGGAAGATGGGAGGGAGAGGGAACTTGGATTGATATTTAAAATAAGATTGTTTCTAATTTTAATTAAAAAAACTGATACTTTTTCCTCTTCCATAACATAGTTTTTTGAATGGTCCTTTCTCAGAACTTGTCTAAAAATAAAAGGCAAATTCATGTAGATGATGCAAATAAATGTATGTGAATTTTCATGTTAGCATATGAAACTGTATCATGTCCTTTATCATCAGTTAAATAGATGCTGGGATGCTATTGGAACAACGCATCTGGATGGAACTCCACCTGACTTAGAAAATGCAATGCTTTCATGAAGTTATCTCAACATATTTGTTTGTTTGTTTATTATTGCATATGAAATCTAAAATGAGAGAATATGTTGTGTATTTTTAAAAATTGTAGAGACCCAGCATTTAAAATTATATGATTGCATTACCACTTCTTCAGTGACTTTAGGAACCAGAACATTCTCTTAAAGACAATGAGTGATGCTGTGCAAGTGATATCTGCAATAATATTCAATGTGGAGTTCATAACTGGGAGTTTTGGGAATGGATTCATAGCACTGAGGAACATCATGGATTGGATCAAGAGACGAAAGATTTCTACAGTGGATCTTCTCCTTACTGCTCTAGCCATCTCCAGGATCACTGTGTTGTGGTCACTGTACATAATGTTATCAATATTTGTAGTGTACCCAGACTTAAAATTGGCTCCACAAACAGTAAGACTGACAAATCTTATCTGGGTAATTTCTAACCATTTTAGTATCTGGCTGGCCACTATCCTCAGCATCCTTTATTTCCTCAAGATAGCCAATTTTTCTAACTCTATTTTCCTCTACCTAAGGTGGAGATTTAAAAAGGTGGTTTCAGTGGCATTGCTGCTGTCTCTGTTCCTCTTGTTTTTAAATATTTTAGTGACAAACATAAGGGTAGATATGTGTATGAATGAGTTCAAAGCAAACATATCTTACAGTTATAAATTAAAGAATGCTACATACTGTTTCAGGCTTCTTGAATTAACAAATAGTATGTTCACATTAATACCTTTCACTGTTTCCATGACAACGTTTTTTCTGCTCATCTTCTCCCTATGGAAACATCTGAAGAAGATAAAGCACATTTCCAAAAGCTCCAGAGACACCAGCACCATAGTTCACATCAAAGCCTTGAAAACTGTGGTTGCTTTCATTCTGCTGTATGTAATTTTTACTTTATCTACTTTTGTACAGCTTTTGAGCTATGAATTTGAAGAAAAGAATTTTTTAAACTATTTTTTCTTTGTTGGTATAATTGCTTTTCCATCAATCCATTCATGGGTACTGATTATGGGAAACAGTAAGCTGAGGCAGCCCTCTCTTTCGGTGCTGTCACTGCTAAGGAGCAATATCCAAGGATGTGGATGGACCCTTGGGTCCCTGGCACACTGAGAATATGATTTTACATAATTTCAGTGAGGATTACTTCCTAAGAAATTATTCTTCATTTCAATGAATATGTTGCTAATATACTTGCAATCTATAAGAAATAAGTGCTATACAAACAAAAAATAACTTTGAGATGAATGGGAGTATGAAACATCTAAATGTAAGAATATTTTAAGTAAAAATTTCAATTGCAGTAAATTATTTGAGATTTCAAAGTCATTAATTTTTATTTTGAAAATACAACTATTGTTTAGGGAAATAGGCCAGTATGTTTTTTTAACTATTTATGCATAAAGACCTGCAGATAGCTCCCTAGTAACCAAAGTTAGGCACAGTACTGCACTTAAGGATGAAACAAAGGAATATTATGAGCATTACTATTTAGATGAAACATCAAACTCCAGGTTTTAGTGAGAGATCTTATATCAAGATTATAAGGTTTAATTCATAGAAGAAGACATCCAGTGTACACCTTTAAACACACAGACATGTGCACACAAGCACACCCATATGCATATGCATGACACAACTACATATAAATAACAATATGATAAAAATTAAAGTACAAGTGTATCACATACCTCAACATAAATTCAGTTATACTGAACCTGATAGAAGAGAAAGTGGGAAATAGCCTTGAACACATTGCCATAGGAGACAACTTCCTGAACAAAACACCATTAATACAGATATCAGCATAGACAATTAATAGATGGGACCTCATGAAACTGAAAAGCTAATGTAAGGAAAAGGACATGGTAAATAAGACAAAATGGTAGCCTACAGATGGGATAAGATCTTCACCAACCCCACATGTGACAAAGGACTGATACCCAAAATGTGTAAAGAACTCAAGACATCAAAACACCAAATAACCTTGGGGTAATGCTAACAAAACAAGTGAGATAACTATATTTCAATAAATTTGTGTCTTTCAAGAAAGAAATTAAAGAAGACATCATAAAATGGAAAGATCTCCCATGCTTTGGATAGGTAGGATCAACGTAATATCTGGAAAAAACAAAAGACTCAGGATAGCCAAAACAACCCTGTTCAACAAAGCAACATCCGGAGGCATCACTATCACTGATTTCAAGCTCTATTATAGAGCTATAGTCCTGATAACAGCTTGATATTGGCACAAAAATAGACAGTTAGACCAATGGAATTGAATTGAATACTCCATGCACATATGAAGGAACACCTGGTCTTTCACAAAGAAGCTAAAACTGTACAATGGAAAAAGAAAGCATCTTCAACAAAAGGTGCTGGCATAACTGAATGCTGGCATGTAGAAGACTGCTGATAGATCCATGTCTATCTCCTTGCACAAAAGTTAAGTGCAAATGGATCAACGACCTCAACATAAATCAAGCCACACTAAACCTCTTAGAAGAGAAATTGGGAGGTACCTTTGAACAAATTCGTAGATGGTACCACTTCCTGAATATAACACCAATAGCACAGACACTGAAGTTGAAAATAATAAATGTGACCTCCTGAAATTGAGAAGCTTCTGTAAGTTAAAGGATACAGTCAACAAGACAAAAAGTCAGCCACACAATGGGAAAAGATATTCACTAGCCCCACATCTGACAGAGAGCTGATCTCCAAAATTTACAAAGAACTCAAGAAGCAAGTCTCCAAAACACCAAAGGATCCAATTAAAAAATGGGGTACAGAACTAAATAGAGAATTCTCAGTAGAGGAGTCTAAAATGGCTGAGAGACACTTATGAAATTGTTTAGCTTCCCTAACCATCAGGTAAATGCAAACCAAAAAAAAAAACTCTGGGATGCCATCTTACACCTGTCAGAATGACTAAAATCAAAAACACCAATGAGAGTTTACACTGGAGAGCATGTGGATAATGGGGAATACTTCTCCTATGATTGTGGGAGTGCCAACTCATACAACCACTTTGGAAATCAGTATAGAGATTCCTCAGAAAAATGGGAATCAGTCTACCACAAGACCCAGCAATTCTACTCATAGGCTTATAGTCAAAAGATCTGCATTCATATGTTCATAGCAGCATTTTTGTAATAGCCAGAACCTGGAAGCAACCTACATACCCCTCAACTGAAGAGTGGATAGAGAAAACATGGTACATTTACACAATGGAGTACTACTCATCAGGAAAATATGGAATCTTGAAATTTGCAGGCAAATGGATGGCACTAGAAGAAACCATCCTGAGTGAGGTAACCCAGTCACAAAAATACAAACATTGTATGTACCCCCTCATATATGGATCCCCTAGATATGGATCAGGGGAGTGCCAGCCTACAATCCCACTGCCAGAGAGTCTGGGAAACAGGTAGGACTGTAAGCGAGATATGCATGGTACCCCAGAGAAGGGGAAGGAGGCAAGCTCTCCAGAGCATTTTGGGAGCATGGGGGGCAGGAGAGAGGAATCCAGAAAAAGAGAGGTGGAGAAGAGAAGGGGATTGGAGGACATGAGAGAGCAGAAAGTTTGAGTCCAGAAAAGAACAGAGGAGAGCAGGATGAAAGATACCATAATATAGAGAGGCATTATAGATTTGAGGAGAGATCTGCAAAGATGACACCAACTGGCAAGCTAAGCAGTAGTAGAGAGACTACCTTAAATGCCCCTCCCTGATAATGAGTTTGAGGACTTCCTTGTATGACATTCTAGTACCTGCATCCATTGACTAATGAAAGCAGAGGCAGACATCCACAGCTAAACAATGAACTGAACTCCTGGAACCCAGTGACAGAGAGGGAGGACTGGCAAACAGATAGGACTGTAAAAGAGATATGCATGGTTCCCCAGAGAAGGGAAAGGAGGCAAGGAGTCAAGACTGGGTTGGTTTAACCCACAAAAACAGTTGACCTGAACAAGTGGGAGCTTTTGGACCCTTATTGATGACTGGGAGGCCAGCATGGGACTGATCCAGACCTCTTGAATGTGGGCATAAGTGAGGAGGCCAAGGCAATCTATGGGGCCTTTGGTAGTAGATCAGTATTTATCCCTGGCATACAAATGGACTTTTGGGTGCTTATCCCAGAATGAGGGGTGCTCTCTCAGCCTGGACTCTTGGAGGAGGGCCTAGGCGCTGCCCTGAATGAAATGACACACTCTGGAGATCCCCCATGGAGGACCTCACCCTCCCTGGGGAACCGAGTGGGGCTGGGTGGAGAACTGAAAGTGGCTTGGAAGCCAGGGGGAGGAGATGAGGGAGAGGAAGCTGGGATTGACATGTGAAGCAATTTTGTTTTATCATTGAAATTGAAAAATCTTAAAAAATTGGATACAGATTTAAATAGAGATTTCTCAACAGAAGAATCTCGAATGGCTGAGATACATTTAAAGAAATGTTCAACATCCTTAGCTATCAGGGAAATGCAGGTCAAAATTACCCAGAGATATCATCTTACACCTGTAGAGTGCCCAAGATAACAAATAAACGTTAATCACAGCCTATGTTGGAACGGATGTGGAGTAAGGGGAACACTGTTCTTTGCTGGTGGGAGTGCAAATTTGTACAGCCACTTTGGAAATCATTATGGTGATTTCTAAGAAAATTGGGAGTCAATCTACCTCAAGACTCAGAAATACTCCTCTAGAAAATATACCCAAAAGATGTCTGATTTGAAGTTGTACTGGTCTTGGGATGCTGTCACAGTGTCTGCAAATTTATATGTGTACCAGCCCTGTTATATCTGGAAAATGTTGTATCCTTATAGTCATTCACCACATCTGACTCTTATAATCTGTCTTTTCTTCTGCATAGATCCATGAATCTTGAAGGGAGGGGTTTGATACAGCTGTCCCATTAAGGATCCAAACTCCAAAGTCTTTCATTATCCTCTTCTTTTTTAAAATTGATTTTTATTTAAATTAAAAAAAATCTTATTTTATATACTAATCCCAGTTCCCTCTCCCTCATGTCCTCCTATTCTCATCTAACAACCCCCCATCCCAGAGCCCATCCACTCCTCATGGATCATCGAAGTCTGACACATGATTTAGGGCAGGCCCTAAGCCCTCCCCCATGTATCTAGAGAATGGGTTCCCAAACCCATTCCTGCACTAGGGATAAATACTGGTACCTCTGCCATATGTTACATAGACTACCCAAGCATTGCAACTGGCACCCACATTCAGGGGGTCTGGTACCCCGCAGTCAGACTGGGGTCCCTGAGCTCCCACTTCCTCAGGTCAGCTGTTTCTGTGGATTTCCCCAGCATGGTCTTGACCCCTTTACTCATCACTCCTTCCTCTCTACAACTGGATCCCATGAGTTCACATCAGTGTTTAGCTATGAATCTCTGCTTGTGCTTCCATCAGCTACTGGACTATCCTCTTCTGCTTTAGTTGTGGGTTACTATGCAATATGTTACTCATAGTAATTTTATTGTATTATTTATCAGAAAAATCAGTTTTTTCTTGTACTTATGATCTATCTCATCCAACTCATCCAAGGTTCTTGATCTCATTTACAGTATTGGGCATTGGTTCCATTTCATGGAGTGGACCTCAAATCCAATAAAATAGTTGTTGGTTGCTCTGTAACTTAATTCATGTCACTACTGCACAAGTGGGCAGGTCTTGCAGGAAGCTTGTTATTATAATTCAGAGTTCAGATTTGGGTGAGACTGCTGATTACTAAATTTCTAAAAATGACCTTTATCCTATAGTCCTGAAGCTTCCACCAGAAAAGCAGATAGATCTCTGCATACTCTATGCCATAAGTGCGTAGTGTCATCTGTGATAGGGTCTTTTTGTCAAATTCTGCAGGGTAACCAGTACCATTAGCAGTAGCCTGTTTTTGTCAGGGAGGCATATAAAAACTCTTTAGTCAACAACTCAGAAAAGACATAACTCATTTCTGGCATCATGGGTTTTATATGATATGATGCATATGATGTTCAGTTGGATCATTATATGACAAATCCACTTAAATTTAATTTATATGTGTATCCATTTTAGGAGCATCTGCAGTAGTAGTTTTCAAATGGATTTTCAAAATGCCTCA